CTATTTCTTGCAGTTTTCATAAAAGTATGCCTTAAAGTTCCTCCTCTGACCCTGAGTGGTTGAGTTACATAACTCTTCTTCAAACATTGTCACTTGAGTGCAGTCAAGCACCTCCAGCGGTTCAGGCCTTGTGTAGCAGCAGGGTGTGTGTAACTATCAGGAGGCATTGTATGTCCAACAAACACTCCTGAGAAAATCAAATTTTAAAAGTATTGACTCTTATTTTCAAAATGCCGCTTCCTTCTCTCTGAAACCTTTAGTTAGAGGTATTATTTATGTATTTATCTATTTAATTTAACCCGTATTTACCCAAGTAAGTCCCATTAAGATCAACGATCTCTTTTCCAAGAGAGACCTGGCCAAGCAGCACTCAAAAAGTTACAGACAAACAACCACACAATAAAAAACATATATATAGATATACGGTAGCATGTAGAAATACTAGAACACCCATGCACAATGACAAGAACCAACTGAATCATTCATCCTTGTACTTATGAGAGCTTTGAAATCAGGCAGAGACCAATTCATGTAGTTTCAGATCTTTTTGAAGGTTATTCCAGGTGAGAGGAGCAAAGCACATAAAAGCTTTCTTTTCCCCAGCTCAGTCTGTGTGCAACAACAAAACTAAGGCTTGTAATCTCAGACTATAGCTGGAGTCAGATCTGTTCAAATCAAAGTGCAAATGTACAAGGGGAGTTTACCCAGTATGGCTTTATAAATGAACAAATATAAGTGACTGAGCCTACAAGAGGTCAAAGATGGCCGGTGATGAGTGAGGGTATTGTACACTTAAAGGAGAAGACCACCTAAATTAAGAATTCCAATGTTGTTTCCAAAGTTCAATAATTTTGTTGTGAACTTGAGCTCCTCTCTCTCGAAGCCAGACACCAGAGAAGTAAGTCTCAAACTAGTGATGCAATTAAGTCCAGAGCTGCTCCATAGACCGTTAATGTGAGCCTTCTTAATGTGGACCCACAAAATGTTTGTTTCCTTTTTTATAGTCAAATGAGCTTCATTCTATTGTAGTGTTCTTGATCTAAAACAGCAAATGTACCCATATACTCAGAACACTCAGCATCATACTTGCGTTTGGCCATGTCATCGAGCCAGTTTGATGTGTCTGTTAAGAAACTGTTCATTATTCACTCACTCTACAGCAGGAAACGGCACTTCAAAATAAAAGCGCTGTGCTAGAATTTCACTGTACTTAAAAATAAAGTGTGTTTTGCAAAGTTGATATGTGTGCAAGTCACTTGGGGTCCATTCAGAATGGACCCAAGACCCACCAGCTGGGAACCACTGATGTAGAAAACATCTTTCCCCATTCATCATCAATGGAGCAGCTCCCAGACTTCATACTTGATGACATCACAAATTTGAATTTTAGCACTCTAGTTTTTGGATTTGGGAGAGTAATGCTCATGTTTACTAATGTGATTGGACTGTCTTAGACAACAGGAATAACATGTATGAATTTTGAAAATGAGTGTGGCTCTCCTTTAAACTTGTTTTATTGAGCTGTAACTAAATGATACGACTGTACTATGATGAAACACATTAATGCTGGTATTATATTTCTTACCAAATTTATAAAAATCAGAATTTCAAGGGTTGAAAATGCTCAGCACGCCCTCTACTGTTTTAAATCAGCTCTGAAACTTGTAATGGAAATGCAGACAGAGTCGACTTACCTACCTCATGAAATTCTGACAGCAGCACTGGTGACAAACTGCTCAAAACTGAAACTAGACAACTCCTGCCTCACACATCCACACCGACCTCACCGTCCTCTCTCACCTCTCAGCCTCTGGCCCACTTTTCAACATTTTTCAGAATTATGCAGTGGGGGTGGAGTTATGCTCAGACCTGGGGGTTCAGTTACACTTACATGTGCATAAGTGAACAAATGCTGCACAACTAAAATGGTGAGTCTGCAGCATGAAGTATCACTTCCTCTTCCTCACAGCTGAAACAACACAGTAACTGTATAAGGTGAGATGTGGTCAGAGTGCTGACTAAAATCAACTTCCTCTGAAGCAGAATAAATCTGTTTATAGGCATAGCAGCAGCACAAACACTGACCGTGAATGACTGACAGTATTTAAAAAGGAACACCAAAGTTATAAACAACTGAGTTTTATTCTTTTTCATTATTTTCATACATGTCTTTTGGCGGCTTCTTTACAGACAGCTCTTGCTCCACGTCTGTGATTTAACCCCACACAGACTGCTCTCTGCAAACATGGGTGAGAAATTTTAGAGACGAATTTGAAACAACAGTGACAGAATACACAGACTAACATACACAAAATACAAAAACCTTGCCGTTTTCAATTGCAACAACGCTATCTCGACGCCCCTGTACTCATGGCTATCAACTTGATTAATACTTTAAGGACCCGCCTTTGTTTGGGGATTTGTTCTAAGTGGCTGAAAATGAAACTGGTAAATATTTCATTATATACAGTCATTGATATTCATGAGTACAGGGACGTACTGGAGACAGACGTAAAGGGTGTCATCGCCAGATTGGTCATGTTCCTCTCATCTCATCTCCTCGCTGATTGGCTGTTTACTCCACTTGAGTGCTGATTGGCCCTTGGAGCGTTTTTCTGGCTTGTGTGGAACCAACACTGCTATCAGAACTGTGGAGAGAAGATGTCACAGTATTTTACATGTCAACATTTCTGTTTTTTTTTTTTACAGAAAAGAGAATTGCATCTGACCTTTTTGTGCAGAAAAAACCCCAAACAACATCAGAACTGAAGCCATAAAACCAGTGAACAAGTTTCTTACGTTCTTGAGGAATTCCTCAGCAACGATACGGGCCCTAGCGTTGACGGACAGTTTCATCTCGCTAATCTCCTTGTCGATCTCCTCCATGAAATGGATGACAAAGTCCACCAGCTTGTGTTTGTACATCTGCTCCGTGTGGAAGTTGGTAATCAAGAAGCTAATATCATATCCCTGAAACCACAATGAAAGACGTGAGTAAGTGAGGCTGGTCAACACGTTAGAAATTTGACAAAAGAGATCACACTGTGAATATTGAGGTATTTTATGTTTGTGTATAGTTTCTACAACATCTGTGCATAAAGAGCCCTATGACACCATTTAAATGTTGATTCCTCTTTTGTCACTCTATTATAAAAAACCCAGATTACTTGTACATCTATCTTATCTTACCTCTACTGGTTTCCTCCTCAGAATGAAGAAGTTCTCTGCTCTCATCATCATGAAGCGCATGAACTTGTGACAAAGGATCTTCTCAATCTCATCAGCCTGCAGGGAAGATTTTTATTTATTTTTAATGCATATTAGACTGGGAATGAAAATGAGGAAATGTGAATAGCTCATAACCAAAAGCAGTCAAAATCCTGCTGTTTTTAATCACCTGTTTGACAGCAATGCTGACTCTGACAGAGTTGATGGATCCCTCAATAAGAACCTTCTCCTTGTCATTACGGCTGATCACCACGGGCTGAAGTAGCAGCTCCTTACTGCTCCTGTAACCACAGCACAATCCAGCCATTACAAATAAAAACAGGCCTGTCAGTCACTGTGCTAAAGACCCTACAGGAACCCTTACAAGTTAGAGTGACTTGTTGGAAAACTTAATCTCCTCATTGTATTGGGGAGACACCTGCAGACAGGCTGCAGCAAATCCCCACTGGCCAATTTTACAGCCTTGCCCAAACTTGTGTCATTTTTTTCCCTCCTAGATTTTCTTATGCAAGTTTGCACAAGCCTGCACTTGTGTGGCAGCTGAGGATGATCTGCAAACAGCTTAGCTTAAGGGCAGGAGAAAAAGAGGGGAAACTGCAAAGTAGGGGGGGCAACCAGTGAGCCTGCCCACTCCAGAGACATGGCATTACACATACCTGACCTCCACCTCTGGCTTGTTGTGACGCTCCACCACCTGAGAGGAGAAGTTCTCCAGACAGAGGGCCGCCTGCAGTGTGGCCCTCACAGCGTTTAAGTAGGGGCGCAGAGTCGCTGTCTGGAGGAGAAATTACATTAGATCAATGTCCCTGCAGAGAAGACCAAGCTGGATAATGCCTTAGATCAGTGTACATGGGCAAACTGAACCTCCCAGTCTGGCGAGTGGTGACTCAACCAGCAGGGTCAGGCTGTGAGGTCAGGTCTGATCAGGAACCAAAATGAGCTGTGTGCAGGAATTCAATGGCTGCTGCTCAGATATAAACCTCTTACCGTTTCCCACCTTTACAACAACTAACAGACATTTAAGAAAGAAACACATGATGGTAATGAGTATCGACCTGATGCAAGGTCCTGGAAACATGAATCAATTCTGTTTGCATTTACATTAATGGATAGATGACCGACACTAACGTTACAGCTCATCCAAATTATTAACGTCCATCTACAACACTCTGCCTTTGCCTAACATGTACATAACTTTCCCACTGTCTCCTGACAGAGCTACAGGAGGGCTAGCTCTCATAGTAACGATGAGAAAAAGGGGCCGAGAGGAAAAAGACAGCTCAGCTCGATCACTTCAGTTTCTGCAAACCGTACCAAGGATGCCTGTCCTCTCATTTCACTGTAGCTCACCTGAAACCTCGTCTGTGAGAGACACGAAGCTAGCTAGCTTATCTCGCCCCAAATGTAGCCACAGTTAGCGGGGATAAACGGCTAAATAATGATAAATAAAGCTACATTTAGTGCAAGAGACTTACCATTTTTGTGCTGTAAAAGACGGAAGTTCCTCAGCCACGCCTGGGACTCCTCTTCCGTAAATCCTACATCGTCTAGTTCAGAGAAGGTGCGCTAGTTTTCATGTAGCTCTCCGTTTAAAGAGGCGGATCTGTCCACACATAAGAAACGCGGCTGCTTGCGCATATCACTCCGCCCAGGTGGAGTACGTTTGTAGAAATCGAGCATACCCTTCGATGCGTCTATTCCGGTCTGTGAACGGGAGACATGTCACTCATCAACCGTCGGTTTAGGAGTCATTTTGACCTTTTGTAGCCTATTCTCGAATAAAATGTGTTTAAATAAGAACTGTATAACCTAAATCTGACTTTGTTAAATTATTGAATGAAGGTTTTAGCGGTAATCTATTTTTTTGTGCACCATTACACAACATGGTTTGTTCCGATGATACCATTGTAGTATTAAGCTAACGTATTTACTGTGCTTTAATTTTGTTTCGATTAATAATAGCATTAAAAAAGTACTGTAGTGTTTACTGTAATGTGGGATGAATTTAACGCCCCTCTTTAAGTATTCTTTTTTTCGGGAACAGGCTATATTTTCAGTTGAATGTAAAACAATAACACCCCTCGTTACCTACAATGGTTTTTTCCATCATGGACGCCATTCACTGACGGTAAATATTTTTGCTCCTAAACATTCAAAGATATACATCAATGCTTTTGATTAGCACTACTCAGGCCTTGTAATTTTAAAACATAAAATGTTTATGTGCACAATTTTGAAATAATGGTGGCCATTTTAAATTTAGGAGTAATATAGCGATGTGGGCCCGCGAGCTCGCTTTCTATGAAGCAAACCTGCGTGTACATGTATTTGGGTGCGTGCATGAGTGTGTGTTTAATGCATCCTTGTGATGGAGAGACACATACAAACAGAATCACAGCTGGACATCTTTGTCTCATCTGTTTAGTTTAACCTCACTGTCCATCTTCTTGTGTCAGTTAATTCAGACAGTGCCAGGCCACACAGCATCATGAGTGAGCTGAAGGACTGCCCCCCACTCAAATACTACGACTTCAAGCCCGTCGAGCATGTCAAGGTTTGTCCCCGCTACACTGCTGTGCTCGGCCGCTCAGAGGACGATGGCATCGGCATTGAGGAGCTGGACACCCTGCAGCTGGAGCTGGAGACGCTCCTGTCCTCAGCCAGCCGCCGTCTCCGAGCCCTGGAGGAGCAGAGACAGGTAGGGGGGAAGTGAATCTAATATGCCACTGTTCACACTGCCTCTCTGGTTGTTTGCAGTTTCTAACTCCCCTCTGTGCTCCCCATCAGATCCTCACAGACTGGCAGGACAAGAAGGGAGACAAGCGCTTTCTGAAGCTGGGAAAAGACCCGGACCCTGCCGCCTCTTCTCGCCACAAACCAAAGAAGCAGAAGTTGGATGGCAAAGGCGGTCACGCACCTGGTCCAGGTCCTGGCAGACCCAAATCCAAAAATCTGCAGCCTAAAGTCCAGGAGTATGAGTTCACTGATGATCCACAAGACATTCCCCGCACTCCTAAAAACGATGCACCCAACAGGTCAGCAACAGCAGCTCTTTGTAATACCTCTCAGCCCTGTACATGCTTTGCCTAGTCAGACCTGTTTTGTTCTGGCAAGATATCAGTGTATTTGAATGTTTTTTTTAATTTCAGATTTTGGGCATCAGTCGAGCCATATTGTGCTGATATCACAAATGAAGAAACACGGTTGTTAGAGGAGCTTCTGAAACCCCCGGAGGATGAGGCTGAGTATTACAAAGTATGACACTCAAAGCCATGTATCTGTTGTTATATTATACTTAAATTCACTTAAGACGTGGCTAAAATCCTGGGTATTTTTATTGCGTTAAGTAAAATGTAGACATGTGTTGAGCTGATTGATGCTGTCTGGGTTGATTGTAGATTCCAGCTCTGGGGAAACACTACTCTCAGCGGTGGGCTCAGGAAGATCTGCTGGAGGAGCAGAGAGAAGGAGCACGAGCCAACGACAAGAAGAAGAGTCTCATGGGAGGGCCGCTGTCTGAGCTGGATGCAAAAGGTGAGTAAAGACTGCAGGCTGGACGTTAAATTTTGGCATGTATCAAACGCAGTACTCATCTTAATGTTTAACTGCTGTAGATGTCGACTCCCTGCTGAAGAAGTCAGAGTCCCAACATGAATCTCCAGAAGATGGATGTCCCTTCGGCCCTCTCACACAGCGTCTGCTCCAGGCCCTTGTAGAGGTCAGTATGTTGTGATCAAGCATGTACACTGCTAGATTTTCCAATAATGCATTAGGCTTTTAAAACAAAACATGAATGGCTGATGAGTGAGATGTGGCATTTGAAATACTCATGTTTAAAGGGACAGTTCACCCCCAAATCGAAAATACATACTTTTCCTTTTACCTGCTGTGCTACTTATCAATCAAGATTGTTTTGGTGTGAGTTGCCAACTGTTTGAGATATCAGCTGTAGAGATGTCTGCCTTTTCTCCAATACAATGGGATTAGATGGCTTCGGCTTGCACTGCGTAAAGCACAGAAAAAAATACAGTTGAAAGACTTTACAGCGATGTGTCTCTCCAGAAATCATGACCCAATAAACCAAGATAATCCACAGACCTTGTTGTGTTTAGTCTATATAGGAACTATTTTCTTACATGTATCACTACACAGAAGGAAGCATGCAACTATTCTCGGATGAGATGCTCATGACAGCGTGAGATGTAAACATTAATGGCATCCACTTCGGCTGAGCTGTAACATCAGTGCTGCTAGGTGAGCTAGCAGTAGATACATGCTTCCTTTTGCGCAGTGATATGGTTGACAGATGTAGTTCAATACAGCTGCTCTCAAGATAATTCACAACAAGGTCTGTGAATTATCTTAAATAATCAGTGCATGATTTCTGTAAAGAGACATTGCTGTTGAGTTTTTCAAAGGTGTTTTTTAGACCTTTGAGCACCACAAGCTGAGTGTCATCTAGTTCTATCATATTCAGGAGAAGGCAGATGTCTCTACGGCCAATATCTCCAACACTCTGCAACTCACACTAAAACAATCCAGATTGATAAATAGCACTTCAGGTAAGAGGAAATATACGATTTTGGGGGTGGACTGTCCCTTTAAAGTCAAAAAAGGGACCTCAATTCTGTCACCCATGTTCAGTGTTCAAGACTTTTATGTAAAGCATTTTGAATTACCGTAGAAATAAATGTGCCTTGCCTTATAGCTGATATCTCCAACACTCAGCAGCTCATACCAAAACAATCTAGCCTGATAAACAGCACTACAGTCAAGAGAAAAAAATCTGTATTTTTGATTTGGGGTGATCTGTCCCTTTAAATTCTGTGGAAACACTGAAACATGCTTGTACATTTTTCCTGTTCTCTTCCAGGAGAACATTATATCCCCCATGGAGGATTCTCCTATACCGGACATTTCAGGAAAGGATGCTAACGATGGCGCTGGGACTTCTCCTCGAAGCCAAGGAAAAGCTTTTAGGTATTTATAACATTTTTCCACATTAGGTCACTCGGCACGTTGGCAACCATGTTCACTCACAAGTTACACTCACACACCAACTCCGGTATCTGACATAGGGTAATTAAGGTCATGGTTATTCACAACACCCAGGTCTGCAGCTGTAACACTGAACAGAGATGTGCTGAAAACGCCTGTATATTTCTGTTTATGCATATTTGTTACTCGGCTTTGTTGAATTCTCAAGTCTGATTGGTCAATTACAGCACTCTATGATCTGTTACTTCTGAGTAGCAAACTGCTGCCATGAATGACAGACTGTTGCTGTGGCACAGTTCTGATCACAGACTCTGGAGGAAGCAAGAAAATCATTTTTATATACATTTTGAAATCAGTGTTTTTGTGTCAGTTATTGATTTCTTTTGTAAGAGGCCTTGTAATGAGCGGGAAAATGTGCAACAAGCAAGTCGTTATTGTGAAATGAATCCCTGCATCATCCTGTTGGGGTTAGTTTTGCAACAATAACCCGCTTGCTGTACACTTACCCGTACGTACTGTGTACTTAGGTGCATGTGTGTGCATGCATGTGGAATTAATTATGTACATGCAGGCAAGCATGCAAATTTATATTCTCCACATTTGGAGGGATGAAATGCTTTTAAAATCCATTCTAGTTTTGTGTGTCCTTAACAGTGCTCCGAGATGGGTTGTCACAATAAAGTTTATTGTAGGTGTCAAGTTTCCATCCAGAACTTTTCACCTTCACTCTGTGCTATATTATGTCATATCTTTGTTCTTGTTATCCCCTTCAGTGTTCCTCACACACGCTCTCTGGAGGCTCGGATCAAAGAGGAGCTGGTGGCTCAGGGGCTGCTGGACTCCGAGGAGCGACCTGGACCAGGAGGAGACTCTGAGGACGAGGTCCTGGCAGAGCTGCAGAAGAGACAAGCAGAGCTCAAAGCCCTGAGTGCTCACAACAGAGCCCGTAAGCAGGAGCTGCTCCGGTGAGGACACAGGCCAACAGTGGATGTAAACTGTATATCAAATTAAGTCTGACCCATGATCTGCCATTTTAACGTGTGTGTGTGTGTGTGTGTGTGTGTGTGTGTGTGTGTGTGTTTGCTGCTGCCACACAGGTTGGCGAAAGAGGAGATGCGCAAGCAGGAGCTGAGGCAGAGAGTCAGGGTGTCGGACAACGAGGTCATGGACGGATTTCGGCGAATCATGGCAGCCAGGCAGAAGAAACGCACTCCAACCAAGAAGGAGAAGGACCAAGCCTGGAAAGCACTGAAGGAGAGGGAGAGCATCCTCAAATTACTGGATGGATAGAGAGAGAAACAGTTTGTGTCTGTTTGTCATCCAGAAAAAATAGTTCCCCTACAGATTGACACAGAACAGCTGTGACAGCTGTGAGATGGTCAGTGAACAGCTATATTTATGATGATGTATGATACAGTGTACTGCAGGTCTGTGTGATTTGAGTAGGGACATATCTGTCATAGTTTTTATGTCATGTTCAGCAGAATGCTCATGATCAGTAACAGTTAGGTCACGTCAGAGACTTCCTCCCTTTTGTTTAATTTTTTCTTTGTTGTTGAATTTATGTTGCTTTTTATTTTTACCATTGTAATGTTATGAAAACAGTACAAATGAATGTTTGAATAAACATAAAGACTTAAAGACAGGTTATGTGTGTGTATGAGATTCAAGATTCAGAGGAGATGCACCATTGCAGTGTGCGCTGTAGTATTTTCTTTGGTGCAGATGATGAGTCCTGAAATCCATCTGGTTAGTAGCATTAGAAACAGGAAATCTGAATATAAAAATGATGGTTAAACATCACAGGATCATTTAATATTTCTTGTGCTGCTGTGTTTATCCTTATTGTTGATCATTTCCATAACTACAACAGTGCATAGACAGATTTTACTTTATATCTTAGTAACCATTAAAACCAAGAGCTCTCAGTCTTGTATCAGTGAGGTAGTGTCAGGTTCTTTTTCTAACTTTGGTTATCATAAAGATCAGTGCTGTGCTACAATGCTAAAACATCAGTGATGGCATTTTTTAATTTACAGCACCTTAAAAAACAGATTTACCCTCCATAACTCAGCACCACGAGTTGATTTGTCACTCCACCACACTATTTGGTCATATGACTATAAACTGGTGTAAGGTTTCTGTAATTCAACAGCCATGTAAAGAAGGAGTGGTAAACACATTCATGTAAACAAATATTTTTGGTTTAATGTTTTAATGACTCTTTTCTCTATGCAAATGTCTATGTCTTTAAAACCGCATACAAGAAATGTTAGTCTATAACCAAGGCCTGAAACCCCAGAGGTGTGGACTTGAGTTACATGACTTGGACTTGTGTCTGACTCAAATGTGATGACTTTAGACTCGACTTGACAAAATCAAAGAAGTCTTGCAGCTCGACTTGGACTTTAATATCAGTGACTTGTGACTTCACTTGGACTTGCGTTTTTATCTCAAAAGAATACTTGATACCTCCCCCGAAATCCAAAGATTAAAAAGTGGTATTTTAATTTGCCTTCATTTCCTGAACCAACTAACATTAACACTGTTCATTTCCAGCAAGCTGACTTAGATGCACATTGTTGGAACCAATCGGACAGCATCCAGTCAAGTTGCAGGCGAGAACCATGAAGAGCTAATGTGATGCAACTGAGCATTGGCTGGAAAAAAAATACACCAAAGATGATTTTGTTCACACACACACAAACTAGCCTATGCGGTGGCCAGCAAAAAAACAAACTGCAGTATGCAAAACGTGCAAATCAAAATACAGACGGAGACACAACAACTTCCGAAATAACTAGATTTAACAAACACATATTTCATAGCACATTCAAGATTTTCATAAATTCAAATATCATTACTCTGTTGTTAAAATGGCATTACATTTGGTAAAAAGTACATGATGTCTTGTTTTGGACTCATAAATCAATTTAGGACTTGGAACTTGCCAGTTTTGACTTGGGACTGAACTCTGGACTTGCCAGTCTTGACATGGGACTTGAGTGCAAACAATGACTTGGCCCCACCTCTGTTAAAGCCCTGTATATATACTGTGTACAGGGTTTGAACAAGCACAGAGACAATTTTTCTTTCATGATGGCTGTGAAGTAAACTGAGCCACGTGCCTGAGATAAGTTGAGCTTGAGGGTCATCTTGCTCTACTGTTTATGTATTCCTGTTAGAATAATGTGTATCAATATTACAGTAATATTGTTAAAACAATGGGAGGGAGGATGTGGAGAGGCAACCCAAATGCAACCGCCATCAGCTAGGTATACAGGTTTGTCGTCTGTAGATCTGTGTTTTTTTGGTTCATTTTATAAACCTATTTTTCCAGCTTTGTCTAATTTAACTTGCCTATTCTGTTTGTTTTAAAGTGTTTTTACAAATAAAGTCAGACAATTTAATGTGCTAATATGCAAAATAGAAACAAGTGCTTACTCTCTACTGTTTTGCTTCACAGTTTCTGAGAATCTGTATATCTAATTTTGTTTTTCATTATTGAATAAGAAGGTCAATATCCTGAAATATGGAGGCAAGTGTTTTATGTTTTAGTCCTGACTCCGCCCTTTCTGAGAAAACATTTAAAGAGTATCTTATCTTACTCAACCCCCTACATAAACTGTTAAGAGTTCCTTGTTACTGAGCCGTCACCACTAGATGGCAGTCATTGTCTCTTGTCTAGCAAAGTCTCCTGTGGTTGACATCAGCCCAACACAGTGTGTGTCAGTGTGGTGTGTGTCCAGTCTTCACGTGAAGATATCCTCACTGATCTTGATCCCGGGATAAAGCAGGAGACTGTGTGTCTCACAGTGTGCAGCTGTGTGTGTGTGTGTGTGTGCGTGTGTGTGTGTGAGGGTCACTCGGTTCACAACAGAGCAGTCAGACACACACTGACCCCGCAGGCATGTGTCCACCAGTGTCAAAGATTTAAGAGCCATGTCAGGATTTATTTTTTGAATCATGCTTTTTATCGTTTCCTCAAGGAAGAACGTACAGCATCCTAAACCATGACAAATAGAGTAACATGTAGCCTACAAAATAATAACATACAACAAAATAGTAAAAAAAAACATCAAAGAACAAATTTTTCATAAACAAGGAGCATGGAAAATAACTTACATATACATAACTTACAATCACACAACAGGTCCTAAGCACATACATAAATCCCTGTGATTCTAACCCAACGTTAGTTCACCCACACAGGACACTATGTGTGTATAAGGGATCTTTAAGGCACATTTACCAAAGAATGAATAAAACAAAATATCAAAATAAATTAATAATACAGACAAAATTAAATAAAATTTAACATCGAAATCTGCAAAAAAAAAAACATTAAAGAGAAAATATTTGTATTTACTTCCCTCACCTTGACCCTGAACACATCTATGTCACTAGTTCTCCTTTTTCTTAAAGTACTTTTTACGTTTACATGATTTGATCTTCCTGATGTTTGTTTTACTCCCTGTGACCAAGAAATCACATGACTTTGACATAACAGTTACTAGGTTATCTTTTTAATTAGCCGGATGCGTATTCACAGGGGTTTAGTCATGTTTATTTAGGTCAATGTATACAACTGGAATACACATAAATAAATAAATAAATAAATAAATAAATAGATAGATAAACAATAATCTGTACTTTGAGGCAGTGACAAACCAAAGCAAGTTTATGCTGACTGAAAAGGTGCATGAAGCCTTAGCTTATCCACCTACCCTTATTTATGATATTATTTTGTTGAGTTCCCTTTACATTTATACACTGGAGATAAAAGAAAGAAACAAAATAATAAATTGAATGTGCCTAAATGTCCCAAACAAAAATCCATATAAACACTAATGGTCTTACCTTAGTTTTATATCTATCAGTCATCTTTTTTTAAAATATCTATTCAGTGTAGTACACATTTTAATTTCCTTTTTGAAACTATTTGGCTGTTATACATCTTTACTTTTTTGCATTTGTTCTAATCTTTATTTTTGTAAACATGCAAATTCCCTTTAGTACATACTTATTTTTACTTTCTATATTAATTGTGCAGTTTTAACATCCACAATTTTTAAGAGCATGTTAGTTTGTAAATAACAGCAGGGTTTCCTACATGTATAAAGTGTGCTGGAAAACTCTGGAAACTGACTAAATCCACATTAATACAGCTCGAGCATCTTTTCAGAGCTGACAGGTTGAAAATAATTTAAAGCTCATGTTCAGTGTCCCTGAGCTCAGAGCTTACAGCCAGGCTGAAGGCTGCAACAATGGCCCAATCATCATGTAAACCCCCTCTCAGTTTAGGTCATCGTCCTCCACGCAAATTCATAATGCCATCAGCCCGTGTGTATGAAAGCTTTTAATAACACACAGACCTATTGAATCCTCCTCACAGGTGAATGAGAGGCTGAATAAATAGCTGTGGCGGCCCCTCGAGGCTGGGCGTATCGCACAGCGCCTTTGTTGCATTTGTTGTCATTAGACCTAAACTGAAGGGCAGGTGGGTTTTGTGTCGATGCACTGCTCATACACGCTCAATGATGCTCGTCTGCTGTTTGCTCGTCTCGTATTGAGCTGCTTTTTTTTAAAAGGCTGGCCAGACTCCTTTTGACTGCCCAGGTGGTGTCATCCCTGATGGATCTGTGAGACTTTAACTTCAGCCTCAGCTGCTCGATCACGTAGCTCCCTCTGCTCTCCCCATGTGAAATTCAGCTACGTGGTGAGCTTCTTCACTCCTCACTGTCATGGCCTGTAAACGTTTACGGCTGTTTAAGTAGAGGGCTCTCCACTGGAGGGTTTGGGTAAATAACTCCAACTGCAGCATTCTGGCACAAGACGTGTAGCGGCTGCATGTCTGGAAGTTTTGTCTCTGTCTTCTTAGGCAATTACGAGAAGCCCAACAGAGTGTAAATACAGTGCTATCATGTGGGCAGGCTGTTGTGTGTTACGTGTTTACATGAGCACACGCTTATCTATGCTGCTATCACCCTCGACCTCCTGTCAGTGGGGCCTTTCTGTCCATTAGCTCTTTGTTTCACCAGTTTGTACGAACTATGTTTCTTTCTCCATGGCTCTCCTCCTACTCCACCTCCATCCTTGCGTTCCTGAGCTGGAACTGAACATGGACAGAGGCTGAGACACACACACACACACACACACACAGATCCATAGGAGTAAAGGGATTTAACATAAATCTGTCGATCCTTTGTCCTAATATGTCAGCTTTCATGCGGCATTGAAAATGTGTGTGTGTGTGTGACAGAGATACAGACAGAGGTTGAGACAGCTGCTGAGGCTGGCTGGTCCACTGAGAAGACCCTCTGTCCAGCCAGGCCACGCCTCACCCCTACTCCTGCACAGAGAACTATTGTCTTCAGCGCTGCTTCCACTATTCTGATGTCATGGTTTGTCCTTCCCCAGAGGGCTGCTGTTGCTGCTGTGGTAAAACTTGACGGACCTTTTAGCCCACAGCCTGTGGCACAAACGACTGCATACATGCAGGGTGAGATAGTCGCACAAACACATAAAAACACTCCTTTGCTCCCACCTTTGTGACCCCTCCTTTACCTTGGTCTGGTTTGAATCTCATTTGCCTCTCATTTGCATGGCAGTTGATGCTTTTCTTGTGTGACTCCTGAACTTGGT